ATATATATATATATATATATATATATATATAATTCAATTAATTAATAACTAATTTCAGTATAATTTTTATGTTCAACATGTTTAAGTTTTGTAACATCCCGCAGGCAATTTATACACGAACTAATAATGTATATATTGATGAAGATTAAATCCAATACATAATAAAAACATGTTTCTATTAGCACTACTACCATCAACAAAAAAATATTTTTAACAGACAAGGGGCAACGATTAAAAAAAAGTGACATAAAACGGTAGTTTACTATATTTTTGTAAAATTAAGAGGGTGAAAAGAGAGAAAAAGAACTTAGAAATAGCTGCTCCTTTTATGTCCTATAGTTGGTTTGGGCCCTTATTAAAGTGATCTCCAACTAAAAAAGTTAGGTCCACATTTGAAACACTCTTTAAACTTTTATGTGGATCAATTCCTAAAGCCCAAAAGAATATATATCCACTGATCAGTTTGGTCCTGTTTTTCCATATCAGTAATAATATGGCGGCTAAACTGAATTGAGATATTCTGTTCTTTATTGACATTGTTGGTGTTACATCCATAAACTATAGGGAAAGAAAAGAAACGAAAAGTGTATTCTAAAACAGGGATGTACCCAAGAGACATTTGATCACACCTCATCATTGACATTCTCCATTTGTTGTATTCGATTAATTAAGAAGAAGAAAAATATTTAAATACTAAGGTTGTCAAATGATTGACATATTTTATGCACTGATTGATCTCCATGGATATACGACACGATAGCTTGATAATTTGTTAAGAAAGTGACAAACGAAAACAGGAAAAAGAGAAAAAAATAAGATGCAGAAAATGAAAATGGAGTGTGGTGTGTGGACCTCACAGAGTAGACAACTGAACCAACCCATCTCTCACTGACACTACTTCAATTCTCACACTCATCATCACATCTTGCTTTCAATTCGATTCAGACAGTCTTTTCATTTCATCTACCATATCTTAACTAACTAAAAGCTCAACCATAGAAACAAAACAAATACCAGATACCAACCCATCATAACAACAACAACAATAACATCACTTTTTCTATATATACTTCTTTTTCGGATGTACTTTACAGAAACGAAAAAGAAGCAGTAGAGATATATGGGGTGCAAGTTGAGCTGAGAAATGAATATATATATATATACATGTAGAGTGAGTTAATTCCCTGATTGGTTTTCCGATAAGATCTTTTGATGATCTGGTCGTACTACTTGACAACTTTGTCTTCACATGTTGCATGAGGGCAGAAAGAAAAGAGAAATCTTTTGCAATAAAGAAAGAAAAGGACTTGAAAAATTACAAGTAGCTGAGAGAATAAGGGGAATCAAGAGAAAATGGAACTGTTGAAATCAAATCAGTTGAAGTCGACACATTACGTTAAGTAGAATGTGAAAGGTAAACATACAAAAACAGTGAGGTAATAAAGTGAGTGCTGTTACATGGACAATATAGGATATTCGATGACATTATAAAATACAATGTCTGCTTTTCATATGTTGATTACGAAACTGACTTTCGGCGTTGAACTTTGTCCTTTTGACATTACAAATTAGAATCCAAGTAGTGGAAGATTGAGAATAATCCATGTCCCTTGTTGACTGCTTTCATTTTCACTTCTTCCACCACTGTTAAACCTAAATATAAGCATCGATCTTATCTCATACAACACACACTAAAGATACTCCACAAAGAATGATGAGAAACATTGAGTCCTCTTATACATATCACTTTACAAGAAAAAGGTTTTACTGTTTGATTAAAGTCGGATT